CCCACCTGTGAGTAAAGACTACACCCTCCGCGAGGGTGGACGAGCCTGGTCCAGCAGGCACCACCCTGCCCTTCCTGCCTTCTCTCCAACCAGCTCCCTGCAGGCTCCTCACTCCGGCCACAAAGCCCTCACCATTCTCTGACTGTGCCATGGGCTATCCCCCCTGGTGCCCACACTCCTGCTATTCCTCCCCTCCCTGATGCTGTTCCCTCTTCTCTGTCAGGGGAAGCCTGATGGGTCTTCAAAGGCCTAACTCAAATGCCACCCCCTCTACAAAGCCTCCCCCTCGCCCTGTACCTTAAAGGGCTGATTACTTACTCCTGATTCTCCCATAACTGAAAGGCTTCTATTGTGCACCATTTATCATGTCCTACGACCTACCTGCCTCTCCTCCCCACATCTTTTCCCTCTGCTTAGCCTATAAATGTGTGCAGAAGAAACAAAGTTCGGCAAGCATTGCTAAGAAAGCTATTTAGGTTGTGCCAGAAGAGCCCCCACCCCAACCCCTTTGGCCAAGTCAAGCTTTTATCAATCTAAACTTAATCAAAGACCCCGACTTCCCAATTTCACCAAAGTAAGCTATCCCACAGGCAGAGTTCTTCAGGGGGATTCCTGCTCAGCCTGGCCATGGCCAAGAGACAAAGGTCTCGCCAAATATCAGGTTCAGGAAGCAGAAAGCAAAACTTCAGTTGTTTATTGGACATCCACTGGACATTCCACATCACTCCACAAGCCCTGGCCCCTGACTTCAGGAATTTTACAACAGTCCTCAGCACATCCGTCTCAGCTTGAGTCACTAGGGAAGAGAACCTCAAGGAAGCATTTTTTTTCCACCTGGAAAAGACGAAGTGATAGGCTCTCATTCTCCTGCAATCTTACCAGGTCAGATGGGCCTGGCGCTACCATTTCAGAGAGCTACGTGACCTTGGCAAATTGCTCAGTTCACTGAGCCTCCATTAACTTATCTGAAGAATGGGGTTCAACCTTCCTTTTGGGGTTGTTGTGAAGATTCAATGAGATACGTGTAGAAAAGCCTTGAACAATGTGGTCTAGTAGAGTGAAAGTAGATTACACTTTCAGTGAAGAGTAACTTTCCTTCCTTTCTCCCTCTTTTGATCCTTCCTCCTTGAGCCTACCTTACGGAGAGGTAAATCTACTGTAGCATATGAAGACTGGACCGTTAAGGGGCCGCCAAATAACATATTTTTTCCCTCAAAAAAACATTTTTTTTTTTTTTTTTTTGGCCTCAAAACAGTTCACTCGGAATACCACTAGATCCCTCAAACACAGCCTGGCCTTCCCAGACCCTTAGGAATGCCCGTCAACAGTTGGACCTAGTGCACTCCTGCAAGCCTTCTAGATAGACTCTGTGTTTATGAATTCCTGGTCAGCCCCTGGGCCGTGCATCTATCTTCTTGGAACGTGGTAATCACAGAGCAAGGAGAAATGCTAAAGAAAGCAGCAGGCAGGGCAGGGCTGAACCACATGAGTGATGCTGTGAAGATTTCAGGGAACCCATGCGAGGACCAGGAGGTGGGCGAGGCCAAAGGACAAGCTGTCTCGCTCCTGCTGGCACTCTGGGGGCAATTATGCCCTATTAATGGCTGACGACGGAGCTCTGCCCCGCGAGTCTGAGCTGCAACAGGGCGGCCCACAGATGCACTCGGGCCACAAATATGCAGTTGGCAACTCCTGAACTTTCGGTGACTTGACACCAGCTGATCTGATCAGCAATTACATTTTATTTTGGGGCCAGGGAGACAGCAGAGAACCAGGAAAATTATAAGACACCAGAGTACAGTTTTTCTAAGAATATCAACCATAAACTTTTTTTTAACCAATTGTTGTTTTAGTGGTTAGGGGATTTGTGAGGCCCTGAAATAAGAAAACCTTGGATACAAAAATCAGATTATAGCCAATTTTCCCCAAAGGAGATTTTAAGCCTTTGCCCAATAAAAATCTGGGTGTGATTCTGTTGTTGTTTTGGAGGGGAGACAGGGTAATTCATGCCAAGAGAACTTTGCTGGTGACAGTGAGCACAGCATAGAGATAAATGGATTTGTAGTCTGTCCTGGGTTTGAATCCTTACTCAGCTTCTTATTAGCTGTGTGGCCCTAGGCAAGCTGTGTAACTTTCTTGGCCTCAGCTCTCCCATTCGTGAAATGGGAGTGGCAGACCTGGTCTGGGGCTTCTTCTAAGCGTTCCATGAGGGGTTTAGAAGCATCTAGATAACAGCTGGTCTAGAGCACCAGTACATGGTAACTAAGATGGTGCCTTCTTGCTCTAACCTTGGTTTCTTATCTACAATAAATAGTTCATGTTTTCACCATCATATATCAAACCCAAATAACCAGTCAGCATAAGACGGGGAAATGGCATCTCTAGGAGCAGTTTGGTTTCTAGCAATTTACAGGGTTTGTCATCTGCCTCTGTGATAACACCAGTCCAGGCTTAGCGGCTTCAACAGCCTTGGCTGGTAGGGAAACACGACAAACCACCACCATGCCCAATCAGGTGCAAAGTCTGTAAATGTCTTGTGGACACAAAACTTAACTCAACAGGGGTGCTTGCTCCCTTCTCTCCTCTAAATGCCCAGGCCACAGCAGCCCAAATGATCACCACGACAGTGTCTCTGAGAAGGACCACTGGCCATATTTGCGTGGGAATGGAACGTAATTGCAGCTTGTAAAGGAAACCAGCCTAAGAAAAAAACATCCCGGGCAACATCCCGAGGAAACAGGGAGATCTTCCTGCGGGGATGTTTTCCTGGTTGCCAGAGAAGGAGGCCGGACAGCTTGCCCACGACATTCTTGATGGAGGTGACTCACCCACCTACACCCTCACAAATGGCTCCCAGAGCTGCCTCTCCAGCCCCATCTTCCCTCCCAGGTCCTAGGCTGCTGCTAAATGAGCTTCTCACCCAGAAAACAAAACACCACCAGAAGGAAGAGATGACCTCTACCCACGTAGGTTGGACCAAGCTTTCCAGTCAACTCGCTCACGTCAGCCCTGGGATACCAAGAGGAACCAGACATGGAAGGCTAACCCACATGCCCAGCTCACTCTCTGGTGCCCAGCGCCTGGCACGTGTAATACTGAAGAAATGGATGAGTGAACGAGTGAATGAATCCAGGAATGAACAAACTCCATAGGAGGCACCGAGCAAAGTACTGTTACAAATGAGGGAAGGCAGTCTCAGAGGGGTGAAGTATCTTGCCCACACTCACGTAGCCTGGAAATGAAGAAACCAGGCTTGGAACCCACGTCTGACTCGGAAGTCAAGGCTTCCAATATGGAAACCCCCCGCATGACCATGATAATGACAAATGTTTACATAGTCCCTGACACATCAGAGTGATTTTATCCTCCCAACATTCCAGAGACACGGACTCATCACGTATTCAAGTTGCACAACCAGTCGGAGGTGAGGTAGGGGTGTGAACCTAGACTTTCATTCTTTCAATCACAGATATTTGGGGGCACCGTCTATAGACCAGGCCCTGTGTTAGGGGTTGGGGATACAACAGTAAACAGCACAGACACAGTCCATGGACTTCCTGTCCAGAGGGGTGTCTACTTCAGAAATAAGCTCCTCCCATGACGCTGTATGCTGCCCACAGAATTTCCCCAGGAAAAAGTAGTGTTTCAGCAGCTGTACTTTGAAAGGGAAAATTATCTGAGAACAGAGCATGTCAACAAAAAAATAGGAATGGCTTGCATCTCAGTAGCCTGTGCTGTTCTCAACACGGCTTACCAGAAACCCTATCCTTTGTCGAGGCTAGTTCTACCCCTTCCTAAGGACGGGTATGCAAACATGCTAGGAGACTTGCCTATAATAATCAGATTAATTGGGCACCAAACAAAACCCAAATATCACATTCCCTGCTGAGTCACCAGGGAACACAACAGGAAGCCTCAGGCAATGTGAGTTTGCAATTACCTGGCTAATCAGGCCTTGCCACACTAGAACTCCAAAGCAGTGGGGCTGACAAGGGAGTGAATTCACCTGGTTAGGCCACCCATGATGCACAAACTCAGGAGTCCATTTTTGCAGAAGGGAGTGCAGGTGAGAGACAGGGAATATCTGTGGGATCAGAAAGTTCCCTTTGCAAGACTTCAGGGAATGTCGCATTACCATGCATCACCTTCCTCTACCCAGCACCTTAGTACACAGAAATACTAAATTAAGAATTTGATACAAAGTAAAGCTCAGAGACTAAGGCCAAAGAAATACATTTTTTTCTTTTCTCAACAGCATTCAAAGGTCAGACAATGGGCCACTAGTTGCTCACTTGCCAGTTCCTGGCATCAAGCGCTAATTAATGTTCCCACAGGAGAACCAGCCTTAGAGTCTCCACATCAAGACCCACACACACCACTGAGGCCATCGCCATGGTGACCAGGCCTCTTCCCTTGGCTCCTAGCTTTCGACAAGAACACATTTCCTTGGTTGGAGCTTATTTCGCTCCAAGAGAAACTCTTCATAATTGAGCCCAATTTACCATGACAGTCACTTAACAAAAAGCACCGCCCCGCCGCCGTCCAAGAATTGAGTCTTGGTAACGGGCACAGTGAGGTGGAATCCTTGGGGCATCTTGGACTTGAATGAACCAACGTGCGAGCAGGGTGGCCGGTTCACCCACAGGTGAACCTTCTTTCGGGGTGCTTAGGGGGACACTGCCCAGCCGGCTCTATAATTTCAGAGCCCCATTGCTGGCACCCGTGACTATGTGGATCTCAAACCCGAGCAGGTCAGAAAGCTTAGTCCAGCACTACACCAAAGCATTTCTCGAATTCTAAATCCTGCTCGCTAGAATTTCGGAGCCATTACACAGACAAAGGGTGACCGAGGAAGTCATCACTGAAGGTAAAATGCCAGGCAGTGCAAGGAAGTTTCAAATCCCCCAAGAACCAGATTTTGGAGTCTTTCATTCCCCCTCCCCCAAAAAATTGATGCACGGAGACCAAGCCGAGAAAGCAAGGAAGTTTCCAGGGCTTACCTGGGTTGGGCTGTAGAGTTCCTGCAGGGGGCTTCGAGACCCCTTCCGGCAGCAGATGTCCACACCGAAGGGGTTCCTCCGCATGACTGAGGAGAGAAAGTGAAGGCTCATCAGAAATGAGCAACAAAGCCTTGTTGTCCGACAAAGAAAAAGGCACAGAGGTAGGTGGGGGAAGAAGAAACAGGAAAGGAAGGGAGATAAAACCACTTCTAGCAAAGCGGCTGTTCCTTTACCCAACGGCACGTCTTCTCCAGCATTCAGGTATCTCCACACTCAGAAGGACATAAATAATCTTAAACATTCTTCCCAGCAAGTTTTTAAGAAAACAAGACAGGCATCTAAAACTCACTGAAATGAAGCTACTTACAAAAGTCAGCGTAAAGGTTCTTCCGAGAGAGTGAGTTCTACCAGCACCAGGCTTGGTGATGTACTTCAAATCCCACAGCCTCCTTGAGGCCTCAGTGATCAATCACAATCTCTTATTCCTGCCTTCCCTGCCATCTCCCCGGCACCTGGTTCTGGTCTCCTGAGCACCCATGCAGGGCCTCCCCCTGGAGGGCTCTTCCACTGGCTAAGTCAGACACCTGGTCACCCCAAAGCCTCTTGTAAATTAGGTTACTTTTAATGAAAATGTCAGGTCAAGGCCGAAAGGACAAGGGCTATGGTTCTAAACAGACAGAGGTGGCACTTACAAGTAATAAGAGAGGGGAAAGGGGCGCCTGAGTGGCTCAGTCGGTTAAGCGTCTGACTTTTGATCTCAGCTCAGGTCTTGATCTCGGGGTCGTGAGTTCAAGCCCCACACTGGGCTCCACGCTGGACACGGAGCCCACATAAAAAAATTTTAAAAAATAAAAGAGGGAGAATAAAGGGAACTTCTCAAAAGCCAGTGGCGTTGGGGACACTCAGCACTACTTTTTTAAAGGTTTTAAGTACTCTCTACACCCAACATGAGGTTCAAACTCACAACCCCAAGATCAAGAGTCACGTGCTCCACCAACTGAGCCAGGCAGGCTCTCTCCCCACCACCCCTCGAACTATTTTTAAGTGGAAAAGAGTTTTTCTTTTTTTTCATTCTTCTTGTTCACAAAACACCCTCCTTCTGGGCAGTCCCTCCCAGAGCCTAACACACCGTCACCTGTTGATAATTATTTGAAGGGCGGGCGGCGTGGAGGAGGGAGGAGCAAATGAATGAGCGAACAAGCGTTTTCTTCCACAGGAGGCGATTTTCTTGTGGAATGACTTGGCAGGGGCATGGGCGGGACAAGGAAAGCAGGTCCATCCGCAAGCCTGAAGAATTCGCCTTTATGTAGCAGCCGCGGAGTGGACCCATGATGTTCCCTGGGTTTGCATTCCGGCTCTACCACATTCCCGCTGTGTGATCTTTGGCAAGGCACCTAACCTTGCTGTGCCTGTGTTTCTTCAGCTGTAAGATGCGGTTGGCTGCGAGGATTCAACGAGTTACTCCTATCTGCAGAATGCTTAAACCGGGGTGCTGGCCAGAAGGCGTTTCTTACAAATTTCTGAAGGGCATCAAACCGTATGCTGAATTTACACAGAACGATTCCTGACCAAAACCCGCCTACCCCCGAGGTGGGGGGAGGTGAGAACTTCTCTACTCTGAGCCATCCAGCGAGCTGATGGGAAGTCAGCAGACCTCAAAAGCTTCCCTGACCCGAGAGCCACAGAAGGCTGGGAGGGGGGGCCCAAGGGGGACACACCCAGGCCCCTCCCTCCGCTTAGAAGCCAGCCAGAGGTCCGAAATGTGAGAAAAGCCATCTCCGCAAGGAGTCAATTCCTTCTGGACGTTCTCCAGGTGAATTGACCCTTTCTCAGGCAGTTCTCCTTTGACCTGTCCCTTGGAGCCACGTGGAAACCCTCAGAGTAAATCATCGCTTCCAGGAAGCTGGAAGCTGCGTTTTCTGTCCCCTTCTCTGTTGCCTCAGAGAGCGGCGTCATTGCGCTTTTGCTGTGAAGGGCAGGTGGCGCTTCGGCCCTGTGCCCTCGGGGTCTGGGGCACCGAGTTGGCAGCCACGGATGATCCAGAACCCAATGGGTGTGGCCTCCTGCCAACGCCGCTCCATTCATGGACGCAGAAAGCGAATTCCGTGTCATTTTCACGTGTCGGGAAATAAGTCTTCTTTTGATGGTTTTTTTCCAACCGTGTCACAGAAACAGGCGCGGAGCCAGATCGGGCCCACAGGCTGTCATTTGCTGACCCCCGCCCTGGAGAACGGTCCCCGGGATTCCTGGGGTCAGCGGAACAAGCCCCAAACACACACTGCGTGCCCCATGGCCCTCTCCGGGGAGGCGACCTGCGGGCAAATGTCCATCCATAAAAGCTGTTTGAATTTGATTACGCTGTGCGGGGAGGGGGGGAACACTGCCTCTTTGTTCCTCCACGACTGCCTCAAGAAGAAGGGGGAAAAATCCACGTTGTGTTTTTCTTTAATTTATTGCTTCATTTTTCATTTCCACCAAAAACGAGGTAAACTGTTAAATGCACGCCACTTGCCCTCAGTGCACAATGACATAGCAACACTTTGGAGGAGAAAAAACAGCCATAAAACTTGTAAAAATTATGCTCATGCCGTGCAAGATTAAACTCTCCCCGTGGCGGCAGACAGGCTCCCGGGGCCGGTGGCTGCAGGACCTGCCACGGTGAAAACCCTACCGTGGAGTCCATTAAAAGTCAGCTTTTATGGGGGGCAGTATTATTTAATTGGTTTATTTTTCGAATACAAGGCCTTTAAAATGCTTTGACCGTGTGGGGCCTGCAACGCGGGCCCTTTCCCAAGGCCGCCCGCCCTCCGTGCCTCCTCCCGCCCTGGCCATGCGCGCTCCGTTGGGCGCCACGTGAACCAGCCTCAGCACCCCAGGCCACAAAAGCCAAAGGGGCCTTGTGCGCTGTTTATGAGAATGACAACAATCTTACTATTTATCGAGCGCTCATTGTGTGCCAGGCACTTGGGTAAGTGTAATCCTTCCCACGGTGAAGGAAGGACCTGCATTTTATAGGTCTGAGCCTCCCTTAACTTCAGAGACTGGACCAAGGTCAAGACCACGGGAGTGGAAAGTAACCACATGAAGACTCAGACCTGACTGCTGTAGGTGCTTCACATCCAAACAAGGATAGTGAGGACCTACCGCGTGCCTTTGAGCCAAAGGATGGGCTGGCAATTATGCACGTAAGTACTAAGTACGTTGGTCCCGTGTGCGTCTTCAGAAAAGTGGCATCAGAGAAGGTTGAGTGACTGACACACACACAGATGGCGGGCAGAGTTTAGAGTGCTCACGGTGCGCCCAGCAGCTCACGTATTCCATCTGCACAGCAGCCGTATGGGGTGGGTACCATCACTGTCCCCACTTTTTTTTTTAAAGATTTTATTTATTTGACAGAGAGAGGCACAGCGAGAGAGGGAACACAAGCAGGGGGAGTGGGAGAGGGAGAAGCAGGCTCCTGATGCGGGGCTCGATCCCAGGACCCTGGGATCATGACCTGAGCCGAAGGCAGACGCTTAACGACTGAGCCACCCAGGCGCCCCACCACTGTCCCCACTTTATGGAGAGGAATACTGAAGCACAGCAGGGGTAGGTAACTTGCCCGGGTCTCATGACTAAGAGGTGAAGCATGGACTCCAACACAGGCAGCCCGTGCTCTCAGCCGCCATGCTGGGCCAAGGGTCAGGTGCCAAGTCCACCACGCATCTTTCTAGTTGGGCCCCAGACTGGGTTGGCTGGCCACCTCTAGGACAGAAGATCTAAAATGAACTCCAGTGCCCTAGGAGTCACTAAAGTGATGTGACAGCCAGACTAATAACTAAGTTATCGCACTGCATTCATTCAACGAACTTTCTCAAGCACCCACGGTATGCCGGGCATGGGCATGGGGGTACAGACCCTCCCCATCTTATTCACATTTTCCCCTGGTGCTTGGCACAAGTCGGTACTCAAGAAAGCCTGTGAATGAGCTAGGATTTCAGGGTTCCTGCACAAGCGTTGGACAAGCTGTTTTCTACTATATAAGGAAGAAACTGCCCGTAGCATCCAACAGCTGTTCTTTTTTTTTTTTTCTTCCTTTGAAAAATAAAAGGTCTGGTGATCAAAAGCCCTAAGAAAGGAATCCCTGAGGACATTTAACAGTGGCCTTCTGCCACCCACCCGCCACCATGAGTTTTATTTAGCTGCAACACTTGCTTTTTTTTTTCTTTTTCCTTTCTAAACCCCAGTCAACGAAACTCAAGACCGTTTGGTAAGAATTGAATTGGCTCAACTTACAGCACGATTTCTTGGACCCAGGCACATTTCTGCATATTCCAAGGTACATGAATGAAACCAGCCCCTGTGTTTGTTTTATGATGACAAAGAGCACATTGTCCTTAAGTGGGTCCTCTGCTCACAGTCAACGGACAGCAGGGGACACAAAGTGGGCTCCCAACAAACGAGTGGAGCCCACCTCCCCCTCTGAGTGACTCCCCGTGGCCTCGCCTTGTGCTTCTGGGCTGGACGGGAGCTGCTGGATGGCTAATTCGGGTCTGAGGACGTAAAACGGAAAGGCCTTGGGGCCCTGGGTGGTAACTCACCTTTGATGCATTTTAGAAAACTACAGACATTTGGGATGCTCAGGGATTATGGTCCAGCTCCACAGCCTCTGTGCTTTCACTTCCCTGGACATCCAAAGTGAGGCACTGCTTACTCAATCACCCAAGTCCAAATGCGTCTCCACCTCCCACCCACCCCCACCCTGCCAGCAAAACCACTCTAATACTGCACTGACTTCAGACACTTTCCGAATCTGATTTTGCTAACAGCCTGGGCATGATCCCTCATCTACACCACACTCTGCGGGTGCAGAGCAAAAATGCCATCAGGGAGAGGTCTTCTCCAAAGGCACCAAATCACGCTGTGCCCTGGTTCAGTACCGTCCAGCGCATGTGTCTAAAGGATGTTGGAATGGGACCGTGTCTAGGTCAACATCATCAAGTGAGGAGAAGTGAGAGCGCTACCCAGCTCCCTCGGAGGGAGCCGTTCCTGGAAAGATGGGCCATCTGCTTTGCAACAGCAGGGCGCAGAGGCTGCCTTAAAAGGC